TGGTATGCTTTCTTTGATATGATGCCTTTCTTTATATATCACTATCAGAGCACTTATCTAGGCCATAACTTTTTTAAGGCATGAGACCATAAGTTTTTCTTAAGGGTTGGGATTATATTGTATCTTTGTATCCCAGCACCTAGATAATGTATAATAGGTAAGCTCTATAATACTAACTCCTCTTATAGATGTGGAGACTGATACTCAAGAGACTGTAGGCATGCCCAAAGTCATACATGGAATCAGAGGCAGAAACTCAATCTCAAATCTCCTGATATAGATTCTGTGTGCTCTATCCATTAAGCCTTGATGACTCCCAGCATTTGAAAATAGGAACATCATATCTCTAAGTGCCTCACATGTTTTTTTATTTTATTAATTTTATTGGGGTGACTGGTTAATAAGAGTATATAAGTTTCTAATGTACAATTCTATAAAACATCCTCTGTATATTGCATTGTGCGCTCACCATCCAGTGAAGTCTCCTTCCATCACCATATATTTGATCCCTTTTACCCTCTTCAACCTATCCCCATCCTTATTTTCCCCTTTGATAGCCACCATACTGTTGTCTATGAGTTTTTGTTTGTTTTGTTTCTTTATTTGTTGCTTTCTGTTTTATATCCCACACGACTAAAATCATATGGTTCTTATGCTTTCAATATGACTTATTTCACTTAGCATACTCTCAAAATTCATTCAAGTTGTCACAAATGCAGTACCTTATCTTTTCTTATGGCTCTGTAGAAAGGAATGAAGATTAGAAATGGGAACACCATCCAACCTACAGTTCTCTGACAGTCAAGATTCCATTATGATTGGATAAAGATGTGGTATAAGGGAAAAGTATTCAGCCATAAGAAAAGATGAAATACTGCTACACACATTTGCTATAGGAAATAAAGCAACAAATGAGTAGATACTTACTAGAGGCATTTTCTGTCAGGGTCTCTTTATCCTCAGATTTTGATAGTCGTCTTTTGGAAGCCATGTTGACCAATTTTCTGCAGTTAAATATTTTCTACAGCAAAATCAGAGAACAGAAGTGACCCTCTCAAAGCTAGATAAATTGAGAGGTTAAAGCTATAGCTCAAAGAAAACCACTCTATTCAAAACTGAAGTGGTTCCAGTGTTTACACTAATGCTATCTAAATCCAGGTGTTGAGAAAATTTCAACCCCTCTATCTGGTCAATACTTTCTTGCTTTCAAGACTTGTTTACCCAGTTGCCTTTTTAGCCAGACCACTTCCCTCTTTTTTAAATCCTTACCAGAGGACACGTTTTTATTGATTTTTAGAGAGAAATATCAATGTGAGAAACATCAATTGGTTGCCTCCCATATGCACCCCGACCGGGAATCAAATCCAAAACCTAAGTATGTGCCCTGACTTGGAATCAAACCTGAAACCTTTTGGTGTACAAGATAACGCTCCAGCTAACTGAGGCACCTGGTCAGGGCCAGACCACTTCCCTCTTTTATTTTATTAATTTTATTGGGTGACTGGTTAATAAGAGTATATGTTTCTAATGTACAATTCTATAAAACATCCTTCTTGCTGAAGGACAAACCCACAGTTCTCTGACAGTCAAGATCCTTCATCTTCTAGCCCCAAACTATACCTCTCCAATAATTTAATAATCCAACACTACACATTAGGGACTGTGCTAGGTGCTGGGGTTACAATTATGAACCAGACATGATGCCTGACCTCTGGAAGTTTATAGTATAGTAATGAATAGTCTTAATGTAATTATTTAACTACACTCATGCCCTGCACAAGGATGTTTCAGATGACAGACCACATATACCACAGTGGTCCCAGAAGATTATAATAGAGCTGAAAAATTCCTATTACCTGGTACCATAAAAGCTGTTGTAATGTCATAGCGTAACACATTATTCACACATTTGTAGTGATGTTAGTATAAACAAACCTACTATGCTGCCAGTTATAGAAAAGTATAGTGCACACAATTATGTACAGTATATAATAGTTGATAATGGTAATAAGCAGCTATGTTAGTGGTTTATATATTTATTATACTATAATTTTTATCATTACTTAGAACAGGGGTCCTCAAACTTTTTAAACAGGGGGCCAGTTCACTGTCCCTCAGACCGTTGGAGGACCGGACCAAAGTTTAAAAAAAAACTATGAACAAATTCCTATACACACTGCACCTATCTTATTTTGAAGTAAAAAAACAAAATGGGAACAAATACAATATTTGTATTTGCATGTGGCCCGCGGGCCGTAGTTTGAGGACCCCTTAGGGTATACTATTTCTACTTATTTAAAATAAGATTTGCTATAAAACAGCTGTGTACACAGCAGCAGCCTCATACATCTGTTTACCGCTTGATGACATCATTTTCACTTGTGCTTGATTTAATCTTGTGTTGTGTTGCATAGTAACATGCAATATAGGCTTGTAGCCTAGAAGCAAGAGGCTATAGCATATAGCCTAGATGTGCGGTAGGCTACTAGTGTACCATCTAGGTTTGTGTTACGTACACTCTATGATGTTTGCACAATGATGAAATTGCCTACGGATGCAACTCTTGGAATATGGCCCCATGATTAATCAACACATGACTATGCAGTTTTGTACTATAAAAGAAAAGCACAGGCTGCTATGAGGAAATTTAGTCTAGTTAGGGTGGCGGTGATGAAGAAAAGTAGCGACGTAGCGACAAATTTCTCAGGGATAATCTTTTTGAGAAAGTGACTTTAAGCAGGGATCTGAGGGTTGAAATAGGAATTAGTAAAAGCGATACAAGAGTAGTCCAGGCAGAGAAAAACTCCACAGTGAAACAGGAAGGAGCTTGTAGAATTATAAATGAGACTGCAGAAATAGGGGAGGGCCTGAAACACAGGGTCTTCTAGCCTATCACGTAAACCAGAAAAGTGTTCTTCTCACCCCAAATGCTCTTATTTGCCTGGAAACTACTATTCTGCCTGGAAACTACTATTCATCCTTAAAGACTTAATTAAATGTCATCTTCCTTGAAAAATGTTCCTGGCTCAGTGGTTGAGTATCAACCTATGAGCCAGGAGGTCAGGATTCGATTATCGGTCAGGGCACATGCCCTGGTTGCAGGTTCGATCCTCAGTGTGGGGCGTGCAGGAGGCAGTCAATCAACGATTCTCTCTCATCATTGATGTTCCTATCTCTCTATCCTTCTCCCTCTCTGAAATCAATAAAAATAAGAAATTAAGAACAAACGTTCCTCTTGCCCTGGCTGGGTGACGGTTGGAGTGTCCTCCCATACACCAAAAGGTTGCCAGTTGGATTCCCAGTCAGGGCACATACCTAGGTTGTGGTTCGATCTTCTGTCAGGGTGTATACAGGAGGCAACCGACTGATGTTTCTCTCTAAAAGTCAATGAAAACATGTTCTCGGGAGAGGATTAAGAAAAAAAGAAAAGCCCTGACCGGTTTGGCTGAATGGATAGAGCGTCGGCCTGCGGACTGAAGGGTCCCGGGTTCGATTCCGGTCAAGGGCATGTACTTTGGTTGCGGGCACATCCCCAGTGGGGGGTGTGCAGGAGGCAGCTGATCAATGTTTCTCTCTCATCGATGTTTCTGACTCTCTATCCCTCCCTCTCTGTAAAAAAACCAATAAAATATATATTTTTTAATGTTTTTTTTTTTTAAAAAAGAAAATGTTCCTCCTATCCTCAAGAAAGTTTGCTACTCGCTTTCTTGCTCCACTGAGGTACCTAGGAGCCCTTTCCACATCATACTAAACTGCAAATCTCCTTGAAAGCAGGAACCCAGTGTCACTTATTTCAGTATCCCCAGGACCCAGCACAATAACTGGTATAAAAAATTTTTTCTGAAAACTTTTTTTTTTCCTGAGCCCCAACAGCGTGGCTCAGTGGGTGAGCGTCAGCCTGTGAACAAGGAGGTCACTGTTGGATTCCCGACCAGGGCACACGCTGGGGTTGCAGACTCAACTCCAGTAGGGGGCGTGCAGGGGCAGCGATTAATGAATCCCTCTCACCACTGATGTTCCTGCGTCTCTCCTTCCCTCCGAAATCAATAAAATATATATTTTTTAAATGTTTTTCTCCCCTACCCAGTTTGGCTTAGTGGACAGAGCGTTGGCCTGCGGACTAAAGGGTCCCAGGTTCCACTGGGGTCACCCGCCATTTTGCAGGCAGAAACACTAAAGCCAGTCAGAACCCGCTGACTTCGGGGCCCGCCCTTAACCGTATTCCACCTCCTGGTTTACAGAGAAGCCTAGAAGATGGGAAGATGGGGCCGGCTGCCGGGCCCAGGCCATTCGAGTAGGGGTTGGGGATAAAAGTCCTTCTCATTAGAGTTCTCTGGGTTTAATGTCCACAGGGAGGCCACTGACGAACGGTGTCCGGACCTCCTCCTCCAAGGTGCCGCCAGAGCCCGAGCCCGTGCCGGTGCCGGTGCTGTGCTCGTCGTCCGGCTTCAGGTTGCTCATGGTGCGGGGGGTGGGAGGGGTGACGAGAGGAAGGGAACGCGGAGGGCGAGAGCGGCGCCGGCCCGGCGAGGAGGTGGGAGGGGGCGCGGTGAGCGTTGCGCTTCCGGGGGTGCTGGTGCGGGGCGGGGTGGCGGTGGGGGGCGCGCGGGGCGGTGAGAGGGGCGGCCGCCGCGTCGGGCCGGGGTCACATCAAGTTTGGCGGGTGCGGCGGGGGAGGCACTGCGAACCGGAGCCCTTTTTTTTTGTCATTTTAACGACGCAGGGAGGTACCTGAGGGTCTAGCCCACAGCAGGGCGGGAGAGAAAGCCAAGATAGGGCGCGGAACCCCGGAGGGAAAGGCCGAGCTTGGCCGGGGCCTACAGACCAGGCCGCAGGAGAGCGAAGCCTCGAGAAACGACGACCGCAGCTCCAAACACCCGCCGACTGGCCGGCGCCGCCTCTCGTTTAAGACTTTCCCGCCCGGAGCGACACCGCCCCCTTGACGTCACCGAAGCGCGCCGCGCCGTGACTTCAGGTTTCCGCGCCGGAAGTGGGCGGCCGCGCGGCCCGGCGAGGGTCAGTACGCCGGGGCCGAACCTGCAGTGGGATCCCGCGCCAGCCAGGCTGAGGGCGTGAGAAGGCTCGGAGGCGAGCTCGAGTGGGAGCCCGGCGCCCGTGGGAGGAGACACCCAGCGACACCGGGTCGGGAGCTGGCGCTTTGTGAAGATGGCGGGGCCGGAGCTGCTGCTCGACTCCAACATCCGCCTCTGGGTGGTCCTGCCCATCGTGATCATCACCTTCTTCGTGGGCATGATCCGCCACTACGTGTCCATCCTGCTGCAGAGCGACAAAAAGCTCACCCAGGAACAAGTCTCCGACAGGTCAGCGCCCTCCGGACCCGGCGACCTCACTCCCCCGTGACCTTGAGCAAGAAAGTGCGGGGGTTCTGTCCGTTTACCCCGACTTCCACATCGCGCTCCCGCTGGCGGGGTGACCCCCGGGGCTGAGTTACCTTCTGTGTTTCCCTTTCGTCATCTGTCAGATGTGGATGCTAACAGGATATGCCTCCTAGACAGGGGCGGGGATTAAATTTTAGATCATGTCTATAAAGCGCTTAGCTGGGACGAATCAAGTGTTCAAAAGTGATGTTGCTATTAGTATTGTTAGGCTAGTCGCCAGCCTTATCTATGAGCTATAGATAAGGTAGGTGTGATTACACTCGATTTACCGAACTACAGTGGTGGTTAGCTGAGGTACCAACTGCCCAAGAGCTTGGCAAACATAAAACTACAGAAATGTGAGGGATGGTGATTATCATTTCCCCTGCTGGAGGGAGGGCAAAGTCTTCCCCCTGTGCTTCATTTCAATATTTGTCGAGAGGTCACTTGAGATGATGTTAGGTGGTATCTAGACGTGTGCCCCTCCATATGAAAATAAACATTTTCAGTCAGTCGTTACAACTATTTTCAGAGTTTACCTTAGGTAAATGTTAGTATGTCTTTAACACTTGCACTTATTAATCTCCCTTTTTTTAACCATTTTTAAAAAATATATTTTTATTGATTTCAGAGAGGAAGGGAGTGGGATAGAGAGATAGAAACATCAATGATGAGAGAGAATCATTGATCGGCTGCCTCCTGCACGCCCCACACTGGGGATGGAGCCCGCAACCCAAGCATGTGCCCTTGTCCGGAATCGAACCTGGGACCCTTCAGTCCACAGGCTGATGCTCTATCCACTGAGCCAAACCAGCTAGGGCTTAATCTCCCTTTTTAACAAAGAGCAAGCTTCAGGCTCAGGACTTTCAACAGGCAACAGTATGCAGCTAAAATTTAATAATTGTGTTTTGTTTTTATTGTGTTTATTTTTAACAGTTACTTCCTATTTGTGGCAGATAATACTGGTTTTGCATTTGCTGGTAATTTAAAGATTTCTTTTAAAACTTATATAAGCAGACAAGATGATGCGTAAAAAATACTAAGTTTTTAATAGTATAAGTGCTAGGTAAATAAGATAAAAATAATAACCATGATATGAGAATGCTGAACTTTGGAAAGAACTGCTATCGTTTTCAGTTGTGCTTTCCAGTTATGCTGAGAATAATAATAATAATAAACCAACATTTATTAAGCACTTAGACTATGCTAAGCACTTATATTCATTAACTTATTTAAAATTCAAAACAACTCTGGTAGATGTCCCATTTTTTAAAAAAAAATTTTTAAGTATATTTTTGTATTGATTTCAGAGGGAAAGGGAGAGGAAGAGAGAGAATCATTGATCTGCATGCTTCCTGCACGCCCCACACTGGGGATCAAGCCCACAACCCGGGCATGTGCCCTGACCAGGAATCGAACCATAACCTCCTGGTTCATAGGTCGATGCTCAACCACTGAACCATTTTATAGAAACTAAGGGTTAAGAGGTTCCATGGTCACAGACAGTGACATCCAGGACTTAACACCAAGTCTTCTGGTTCCCAAGTCTGGAGCTCCCCACTATACCACAGACTTTTCTTTGGCATCAGTTTTAGAACTGACAGAACCAACCTCCTGTAGATAACCTTAAGTCAGTTCACCACAGGAAGGGAGGTTATAGAAAGATGTAAAGTAGCCCTGGCCGGGGTACCTCAGTTGCAGGCAATCAATCAATGTGTCTCTCTCACATGGATATTTCTCTATCTCTCTCCCTCTACCTCCCTTTTCCTTTCTTCCTCCCTGCCTCACTCTCTTCCTGTCCTTCCCTCCCTTCCATTCTCTCTCCCTTCCCCCTCCTCCTTCCTTCCACACTCTCTAAAAATCAATGGAAAAAATATCCTCAGGGGAGGGTTAAAAAACACACAAAAAGATGTAAAGTGGAGAGAGCTCAGTCAGCATTTATTTATATATTGATACCAATAAATTGTTCTCATTTTACCTTGAAATTAACACTGAGATAGATAATCCTGAACCATTTTTACCGTTGAAAAAAAGAGAGCCTGGGAAAGTTAAGTAGCCTTCCCTAAATAACCAAATAGTAAAATATTGTGCCTGTACTTGAACCCAGGACAGTCTCACTCCCAAATTAAATTCTCTTGACTACAATTCCTGCTGTCATAGATTCTCCGCCACAGTTTTTGCACTGGGTTCAATATGTGGTTTCAGAGTGATGATGCTGAATGATATCAGACCCAAAACTCCCTTTTATGACCCAAAGTGAAATTCACTGTTGATGCACTCTATACAAGAATATTTAAAAAAAAAAAAAAAAGGCACATAATGCTTTACAGCAAGCATGTCAAACTCGCTCACGGCCAGCAGACCACATGCCTCATTTAAATAAAGGAGGCATGCAGCCCTCCGGCCACGAGTTTGACATGCTTGCTTTACATAAAGGCAACAATCCTGAGAAATAAAAGGTAGATAATTTAAATTCTGTTTCGTAAGTGCTTGTGCATAACAGTCCTAGAGAAGATGTACTACAGAAGTCAGATGCAATCACCTAGCTATAAAATCCCTATAAATTGGGGCAGATTCCACTGTAGGCTGATACATTGTGTTAGGTACTTAGATGTAACAGAAGGCAGTGTTTGGATGTGATTTTCCTAAGTGGTGAACTACCCTTGATAAAGTTCTGAACACAACAAAGTGCAGTTTTTCCTATATTTACAGGCTGGTTGCGTATCTGGAAATTCAGTATATATAAAAATCATCCCTCTCAACCATTGCAAAAAATGGAATTAGGTTTGAGGCTCAGATCATTAGAACCAGTTTGATGAGATATCACAAGTAGTGTGAGACATGGGACAGTTCTTTGTATTGCACATCTGTCCCCAGCACTGAGGAATACTTAGTTGTGTGCTTTCTCTCCATCCCTTAACTTTGACACTCTAAAAAATTCCACAGGTTTCCATTAGGCCCTCTAGAGGGCAGTGCCACTTACATGAAGAACCACTGCTTTAAAGAAAACTCAACATTTCTGGTCATAATTGCTCCATCCCTTAAGTGAAGTCATGCCATCTCTGACACGGTATGACTATACCCCACCAGGTCATCATTTGAACTTGAGTAGAATGCTGACCACATGATTCTGAACTGGCCGAAGTCCAAGGCAAAAGATGTCTTTTAGTTGTAAAACATTCCTCTAAATACAGTATAAGTTTCCAGTAACCTGAATGATCACAAAATGGAATGTTGGGTTTCATAAATTATTAAGCTTTTACTGCCTCGAAACTTATTAAAATTTTTGTAAAATGTATTAAACCAAACCTGAAAAATGCATAAATAAAATTTATTAGACCATATTTAAGGATAGAATGTATGTAAAAAGTAGTTCTCAAGCTTGAAGAATATACTGACTCTTTGAAAGGAAAAAAACCCCAACAAAAACATCCTGATCTTTAAGGATATGGAACTCCACTTTGAGAAATAATAACTTTAAAAAATAAGCTTTTAAGAAAATGTCTTTCAGTTGCAAATTACCACTGTGAAGAAAAGCTTTATCTTTATAACCAGGACTAGGACTTATTTTTAGATATTAATGGAAATGAAAATGCAAAATTAAAAATTTCTTGTAGGGTTTGCAAATCTCAGAGAATACATCTGTGGATCTCAGTTTAAGAAAGTGAGTGCTTTTAATATACAAGATAATTAAAGCTTGCCTTGATTTAATTTTTTAATTCCAATCTATCACAGACTGATGCTTTTATAAAATATTTTGATCACGTATTTGGATCTTATAACAATGTCAAATTATAAACTTTTCTAAACCCTTATCACAGATCAGCATTGGTACATAGGCCACACTTTGAGTAGCTTTAGACTAGCTCCCAGGGAACAGAACATATTACATGTCACCTCTGTAAGCCTGCTTATGGAGCAGTCAACCGTATAGTACAACGAGGTCAGGAGGAAGAACACCAGAGAGAATTGCATGAGGGCACCAGGCATTGGGAAGAGTTTCATAGAAAAGGTGGAGCTTGAAGAAGGTGAAGGAGAGGGGCACTAGAGAATTCCCAGCGTATGGAAAAAGCTGGAACATGACAAGGAGATCCTAAGGGTATTGACCTACTACTTAGAGCAGGTGGCTTATACTGAGGAGTAGAGAGAAAACCAAGCACAGTTTTCCTGTGTTCATTTCTGTTACAATCTTTTTCCCCACTTTTCAAGAAAGATTTCCATTAAGCTAAGTAGGCTCCCCCTCAAGCCCCCCAATTAAAACAACTTTTGAATACCCTTGCCTGGTAGCTCAGATGGTTAGAGTGTTGTCCCAATACGCCAAGGTTCCTGGTTTGATCCTCAGTCAGGGCACATACAAGAATTAACCAATAAGTGAAACAACAAATCAAAGTGTCTCTATCTCTCCCTTCTCTCTAAAATCAATAAATTTTTTAAAAGCTTTTGAAAACCAAGAAAAAAATTAGTATTTTGATCTCTATTCTGTTTATTTGTAGCTTAGCACCACCCATTTGTATTGCACTGTTATCTTTAATGATCAATTATGTTAAAATATCACCAAATAATTTCACTTGTTACTTTATTTAACAAATGTTTATTGAGAGCTTACTAACCATCTGAGTACTGGGTGGGATTTCTATTTGTTGTCTGTCAGATAGCAACCCTGTCAAGTCCTGTACTCATTTCTCTTTGGGACTTAAAAAGTTCCTTCAATCCTCACCCTTCCTCCTTCCTCCTGCCTCCAAATCATCTGAGAAGCATCCAACTGCTACTCTTTTCACTCAGAGAAAGTGCCTTCTTAGCTCATAAATTAAGAGAAAGGTGAGTGTTCCAAATGTGCCTTCTTCAGAAATCTTTGTTCAGAAACACAGTCACTTCTGAAAAATGCTCTTTTGAAAACCTGATTTGGGGGTTGTTAGATTGGTTTTAAGGATACTTGTAGTTTGAAAAGTTTCCATACCGGACTGTGGCCAAATAGGCCCTCTCTTGTGTTTAAATAGGTCTTCTACTTTATTCTCTTGTTTTCTTCTAGTGTTTCGCTTTTATAAAAATCTCATTGTCTTGGTTGTATTTTTCAGTCAAGTCCTAATTCGAAGCAGAGTCCTCAGGGAAAATGGAAAATACATTCCCAAACAGGTACTCATTTATCTTTTATTTAAAGTCCCACGATTCACTGTTGAAGGCAGTAGATATCAGAATGTTTTATAAGGGGACTCTTTGGGGAAAACTGAAGGCTGGCAAGTCAGGAATTAAGCTGTGGCCTGATGGTGTTTGCTGTCATTGTGACCTCATCCTTCTTAGAAAATTGTTTTTAAATGTGACTCAGCTAAAATGTCAGCTCAGCTGCCAAGTGGGCTGTCAGCTCTTAGTGTAACAGCATATTCCAAGGGCCTTCTGACCAAACCTCTGGGGAATAATTTTACAGTTTGCTATGTCACAGTTTTAAGATTTAAAAAGCTCTCTTTTTTTCTACTAGTCTTTCCTGACACGAAAATATTATTTCAACAACCCGGAGGATGGATTTTTCAAAAAAACTAAAAGGAAGGTAGTACCTCCTTCTCCTATGACTGGTATGTTTATTCTTTTCTCTCATCTTTAAGGAAGATTTTTAACATGAGTGGGGGGAGGAGGGAGTTAGAATGTGTCATTTGACTTCAGTGTTAAATTGTTGAAGATAGTAATCTAAGGGACCTTAGATATCATCTAGAATAGCAATCTGCAGAAGTAGTGTTCTCTTTTCCAAATAAATGTTCTGGGAACTCCAAAATATAAAGTGGATCTAAAAAAGAGCTCTCAGGCCCTGGCTGGTGTTTCTCAGTGGTTAGAGCATCAGCCCGTGCACCAAGGGGTCTCAGACTCGATTCCCAGTCAAGGGTACATACCTGGGTTGCAGTTTGCTCCCCATCCCTGGTTGGGGTGTGTGGGGGAGGCAACTAGTCAATGTGTCTCTCTCACATCAATGTTTTTCTCTTTCTCTCTCCCCCACTTCCTCCCTCCCTTTCTTCCACTCTCTCTGAAAAGCAATGGAAAAAAATATCCTCGGGCGAGGATTAACCAAAAAAAAAAAGAGAGAGATAGAGCTTTCAGGCCCTGGCTGGGTAGCTCAGGTGGTTAGAGTAATCGTCCTGATAACACTTAAGTTGGTGGGTTCGATCCCGGTCAGGGCACATACAAGAGTCAACCAATGAATGCATAAGTGGAACCAAAAAAAAAAATCGATGTTTTTCTCTCTTTTTCCCTGCCTTTCTCCCTCTCTCTCAAATAAAATTTTAAAAAAGAAAATAAAAATAAATAAAGAAAGAGCTCTCAGCTAAGGGACTGAAGCGACTAGAGCCATCGTCTCTGGGTCTCTTCCCTTTGCTGTTACTCAGGACCCAGGGCTCCACTGAGCACAGTTGGAAAAGCTGGGGCTCCCACCCAGTGCCTGGCTCCTGTTGCTGACAGATGGCCACCCAGCTCTGCTTGGATGAGGAAGAGCTCTCACTACTTCCCCAGACCAGCTATTGGCCATCCTACAATTTTTACTCTAACAGATTTCTTACTTTCACTGATCCCTGTCATGTGAAAAACACAGCCTCTTTAAAGTGAAACAAAATTTATTATCCCATATTGACTGTCCTCTCATTTTAGTATCCATTTCTTTAGGTGAGATTACCAGCTATTTTAAACCCAAACAGAAGTTACTATAAATCTTTCAGAAAACCTACAATAAACAAAAAACCAATAAATTTACAAAAAGATGCTTGACCTACTAAAATCTATGGAATGCAAATTAAAACAAGATGTCCTTTATAGCCCATTAAATTGGCAAAGATTGAAAGCTTGACCAAAGTTGCTACTGTCAAGGTCATGGGAAGTGAGGCGCTCTCACTATTTTTGAAGGACAATCTGACAGTATCAACACAAATATGCAGGCTATGTACAAGGTAGTTGTTGATGGCATTGTTTATTGGCAAAAAAAAAATTGGAAACAATCTATAGCAGTGATGGCGAACCTATGACACGCGTGTCAGAGGTGACACGTGAACTCATTTTTTTGGTTGATTTTTCTTTGTTAAATGGCATTTAAATATATAAAATAAATATCAAAAATATAAGTCTTTGTTTTACTATGGTTGCAAATATCAAAAAATTTCTATATGTGACACGGCACCAGAGTTAAGTTAGGGTTTTTCAAAATGCTGACACGCCGAACTCAAGAGGTTCGCCATCACTGATATATAGGTTCACCCAGTAGTGATGCCTGCAACCACATTGTGGATTCCTATGCAGACATTAAAAATAATGAGAGAGTTATTATACCAATGTGGAAATAGCATTCACAACATACTAATTTTTTTAAATTAAGAAGCAGAATAGTGCCCTGGCCTGGTGGCTCAGTTGGTTGGAGCGTCATTCTGTACATCAAAATGTTGTGGGTTTGATTCCCAGTCAGAGCACATACCTAAGTTGCAGGTTTGATCCCTGGTTGGGTGGGTATGGAAGAGAACCGATCAATGTTTCTCACATTGATGTTTTTCTCTCTCCCTCTCTCTCTAAAATCAATAAACATATCCTCGGGTGAACCTAAAAAATAAAACAAAAAAAGAAGAAGAGTAAGCATAGTATCCCTCTATTGTGTATGTATAGAGAGAAACCACTCTGTGTGTGTGTGTAAATAAAATGATGGAAGGATATGAAACAATTAAAAATGTTAGAGAGTAGGCTCAGGGGAACCATCTACATCCCGTTTATATGTCATTTGAATTTTTTACAATGAACTTGTATTACTTTATCAAATAAATTTAAAATGAACAGAATCAGGAGGAAGCCCCTGCCAGCAGTGGTAAAATGTAGTGGTCTCTGTGTTTTTGTCTTAGATCCCACTATGCTAACGGACATGATGAAAGGCAATGTAACAAACGTTCTCCCTATGATTCTTATTGGCGGATGGATCAACATGACATTCTCAGGCTTTGTCACAAGTAAGTCACCACTGAGAAGACTCAGGTTGTATTTCACCTGTGCTCCTTTCCCTTCTCCCTGTTCAGAGAAATCAAAGTGCTAACATCATGAGTCCTATGTTCTGTAGTGGAAACTGGTAACAACATCCTTTGAACAGCAAAAATATTAATATGCTATGATTTTATGGCTCTTATTACAAACTGTAAGTTCATAATGTCAATGCTTTTTTACTAATAGGGATTCAAACGAGTGGCTTGCTAGTTTGTATCTGAAACTAATTTAGTGTTCTAGTTGAGTAGGATAAAGGGAAGCCATTTATATTTCTACTTCATTTTCTAGATGTTGGGGTGAGTCGTTTGTCTATTTGTTTATAAGTTTTTATTTGATTTGAATTAATTTGGTTTCTTAGTAATGTAGTTCTCTGTGTATATATATTCCACTTTATGTTTAACAGATTAGTGCATGTTTCTTTTGAGATTTTTAGGTCACAGCTCAGTTTGAGTCCCTGCTTCTTAAGCAATAGAGAAGCTAGTATTCAAGGAAGAGTGACATTGGATGTATTTCTTCAGAAAGTGACAAATTTCCTTGTGGAAATCTTTTGCCAAACTCTGTATGGTCCAGAGTTCCCACCTCTTCAGGGAAAGAATAGATGCATTCACAGTTTTACTCTTCTAAAAATAAAGAAGTTGGGGCTGATTATGAACTTTTCTTTCTTTGCAGCCAAGGTCCCATTTCCACTGACCCTCCGCTTTAAGCCAATGCTACAGCAAGGAATTGAATTACTCACATTAGATGCATCCTGGTAAGGACTTTCTCTGAGTCTTACAAAAGGAGAGAAGGTTTTAGCCTCTTTTCTCTAGGTGCTGGGGTCTTAGGAGTGCAGGGGTAGATGTATGTATTCCCAAAAAGTTAAAAGATAAAGCCAGACAGACCTTTTAGCAATGCCCTGGAGCATATGGGAGTAGATGTTTGTATTATTTTTTCCAAAATACATTACTACTGATAATAACATTAAACCTTTTCATTCGTACCAGGCACTGTACTAGGTGCTTTCTACATATTATCTTATTTTTATCCTCATAGCAACCCTATGAAATAAGTGGAGAAATTGAGATTTGACCACACCGTCTGTCCAAGTCCAGCACTCATGTCGTATTTAGCACTATTTTTTATAGCAGAGTAATAAAACACAAAATTTGAAAGGCTCATAGAACACTGCTACCACATGTAGAACCCAGTAGTGCTTCTTCATATGGTCTCTCCAGACTGTTTTGTCAGTGGCTTCCCAGAGACTGGCATTAAAAAGGAAGCCAACTCTAGCTGGTTTGGCAGTGGATAGAGCATTGGCCTGTGGACCAAAGGGTCCTGGGTTTGAATCAGTTGCAGGCTCCTCCCCAGCCTGGGCCCTGGTCAGGGCATGTGCAAGAGGCAACCAGTCGATGTGTTTCTCTCACATCGATATTTCTCTGTCTTTCCTTCTCTCTTCCACTCTCCCTAAAAATCAATGGAAAAATACTCTCGAGTGAGGATTAACAACAAAAAAGGAAGCCAGGCAAGAGGAGAAGAATGTGTAACTTCCAGTGGTAACTTCCCTGAAGTGAGCAAACCAGTGGTTGTATGAGAGGGGCAGGCCAGACTGGGTGCTAGAGAGTCTTGGCTGTGCACAATTCCACTAGAGGAGAAAAGCTGTAGTTATTATAAGTAGCATGACTCTACTAAACCTCGACCTTCCAGACTCATTTGGGCCAAGCAAAAACTTTATGTGCAAGAAAAACTTTTAAAATCTTTTCTCAGCATCTGTGACTGACATGCTTGTGTGGACAAAGGAGACTGGAACGTGGGTATACAACTAGCTTACTGTTAGATGTAGATCTACAACTTGGGAGTCCGAACTTCTTATTGTATGTACTTCTGCATTGTTTGCATTCATTATTTATAGCAAGTGTGTTTTTATAATTAAAAATAATGAATGGTTTGAAAACCCATTATGTAGAAAGGAAAATTAAGCAAAGCTTACAGTCCCTGATTAAATGGAAGCACACCAGTTGTGAGTTCAGCTTCTGCTACTGAAGGCAGAATTTATTATATAGCTCTAAGTGGCACTTTACCTGCAGTAAGCTATAACTGTTTGTAACATTGCCTTCACAACTTGTATTTCTTCTTTGGTTGTGCTTTGAATGAATATAGCTTACCCCCGGTGATTTCTTACATACTCTGGACAACTTTGGGTGTTAGAAAAGTATGAATTGCATTAATTCTGACATAACTACCTACGTTGCTTCACTTTTGCTTTAGGGTGAGTTCTGCATCCTGGTATTTCCTCAATGTCTTTGGGCTTCGGAGCATTTACTCTCTGATTTTGGGCCAAGATAATGGTAAGGAGCACATCAGGTTTAATAAGCAAATACTCTGATAGATGAATCATCCATGCCAGAGTCAGAAAAATCATGTAGGCTGTGCTATTTGTTAGCATAGTCAAATACAGTCCTTCATTCTTTAAACTACTAAGTTTCTGAGGTATTCTAAAAACAGTCTTAAAAATTCCAGGGTCAAACTGAAGATCTGAGATCTCCCTGGCAATAACAGGGACAAGATGACGTATTCTAAAAACAGTCTTAAAAATTCCAGGGTCAAACTGAAGATGTGAGATCTCCCCGGCAATAACAGGGACAAGATGTAGTCTCTAACAGTCTGATATCCTCAAATGAGGGATCCACACCAGCAATATAAGCCTGCAAAATGGAAGCTGAAAGAAGGCCTGGTTTGATCAGTTAGTGCATTGACAAGATTTCTTGCCAGTACTTGTCCTAACTGTCTCACTTAATGGCTGGGAACTCAGCCAAGTTACTTAACCTCTTTAATCCTCTGATGTAAAACAGGGACCTTAATAATTGACTTCAGGGTTTGTTGTTAGGAGTAGATGAGGTAGAATCTGTAAAGTACCTAGTGAAGTATTCGGCATATAGTAGCTGTTCAGTAACTGGTGGCTGTTGTTATTGTTTAAATTTGAAGTAAAGTTTAGTGCTTTCTTAGTTACCTTTCTTCTCCTGCTATTATCACCCCCGTTTTTCAAGAGAAGTAAAGTGACTTTTCTGGTGTCACACAGCCAGTGCAAGGTAGGGCCAGTCAGTGAATGTGTGATATGGCTCTCTGACCCACTACTGAGCATCTGTAAGTTTTGTGTAAGGACCGTTCCTCCTGAGCATGCAGGCTGCTGCTAAGCCCTGGGGCTCATATAGGTGCATCTTACTCTGCAGCCGCTGACCAATCACGGATGATGCAGGAGCAGATGACTGGAGCAGCCATGGCCATGCCCGCAGACACCAACAAAGCTTTCAAGGTACACTCACTTCTTCCAGCTTCACTGAAGCTCCAAAAGGCATTCAGAGTAACTTTAAAGATGGGTTCTCTGAAGTGAGTGTAGTGTCCATTATTCCATTATTTAAATTTAGCAAAAATGTATTTTAGTTTACATGTCCCTTTCTCCTGAGGAAATCATCTAAGTACATTTGAGATTCTTAGTACTTTTTCTAGTTTTTAAATGCTCACCAAATTCATTCTACACTAAATGATGCTGTAAAAACAGTTCAATCAGAGGCACTGTAAACATTTGGAATATTTTTTAACTTTTGGACCCTGTAGACAGCTGATGAAAATTTCATTAAAAAAATTCAGTACCTAGAGCTTTTTCATGAAATTATTTTATAATTTATAAAATCTAGTATAATTTTTGTACAGCAGAATTTCACTAATTTTTCATCATAAGAACTAGGAATAGAAGAGAACTTTCATCTTGGTGAAAGGTATCTATGAAATACCCATACTCATATTGAAAGCTTTTCCTCTAAGATCAGGAACAAGACAAGGATGTCCACTCTTGCCACTACTATTCAACACTGTACTGCAGGTTCTAGCCAGGAAAGTTAGTCCAGGAAAAGAAATAAAAAGGCATTCAGATTAGGAAGATGCAAATCAAAATCACAAAGAGACACCACTTCACACCCACTCAGTAATAAAAGAAGATGGACAATAACAAATGTTGACAAGGCTGTGGAGAAATTGAAACTCTCATGTATGGTGGTAATGATGAAGCCACTTCGGAAAGCAGTTTTTAGCCTTTCTTCAAAAAGTTAAAAATAGTTACCATGTGACCTAGCAATTCCATGCTTAGGTAAATACCCAAGAAAATTAAAAACCTATGTCCACACAAAAACTTATACAAGAATATTCAAAGTACTATTTATAATAGTCAAAAAGTATAAACAATCCAAATGTCCGTCATCTGATGAACAGAGAAACAAAATGGAGCATTTTGGTATATGTGCACAATGTCTAGACAATGGAATGTATACAATGGAATATTATTCAGCCATCAAAAGGTATGAGTACTGCATCCTGGTACAATTAGGGAGGAACCTTAAAAGCATGCTAAGTGAAAGAAACCAGTAACAGCAGGGTGTGTATGATGTGCAGACTAGATGAATCCAAAGATACAGAAAGTAGAGTATTTGAAGAGGTTGGGGGAAAGGGATAAAGAGGAGTGTCTGCTATTTGATAGGAAGTTTCTTTTTCTGAAACCTGATGAAAGTATTCTGGAATTAGGTAGTGGTGATGGTTGCACGTCTTTGTGAATATGTTAAAAACCACTAACTTGCATATATTAAATGAGTGACTTTTATGCCATGTGAATTACAGTCATTTAAAAGAACACACCCATGAACTAACACTTGTATTGCATGTTAAATTTCACAAAGCATATTTTTAGAGCCCACTATTAAAGGCAAAGTATTTAGCATTAATAGACTATTTGAGAAATGTAATTAGTTACTAGCTCCGGTGACCTTAAATATTTTACCTTTCTTAGCTTTTGTCTCCTTGTCTGTAAATTGGGGATTGGGGTGGATGGCAGCACCTGAGCTTATACATGTAAACAGCCTCACCCAGCCCCTGGCCCAGAGTAGACGCTCACAAAGGTCAGCACTGCTCTTAGTAACAGCCCTTCTGCCCCTCTCTCCCTGCCCTGGTGTCCTCTTTCTTTGCAGACAGAGTGGGAAGCCTTGGAGCTGACAGATCACCAGTGGGCCCTAGATGATGTCGAAGAGGAACTCATGGCCAAAGACCTCCACTTCGAAGGCATGTTCAAAAAGGAATTACAGACCTCTATTTTTTGAAGACCAAGCAGGAATTAGCTGTGTCAGGAACTCGGAGTAGCACTTAACCTTGTAACTTTCGTTTGAGCAGGAGCCTCTCGGAATAAAAAGGAGGATGCATGAGCTGGCGGATGTGCAGCAAGGATCATTCTTGTCTGAGCCGGTTCCCCTTTATGTATGAAACTAGAGGAAACACAAGGAGTGTGTGCTGGGTGACTTACCCAGAAACAGCTATTTTTAAAATGTTTTAAATTTTCCATCTGGTGACTCTAGTAATGAAAGTCAGAGAAAGGGGGAAAACTCAAGCTAGTGATAATATATAAAACTTAGCAAAAATACAGTCTTTGGAAAAGGAGTTTTCAATTATACCTAATTATTATGTGTAGTCAGCCTGACTTCTAACCACAGTAGACTCCTTTTTTCTTGGGATCCAAACACCCTGCATTTTACCTTTAATTTTTTGTTAGTATTTTTATAACTTTCTTTACACAAATAATACATTTTCATTACAGAAAATTTAAGAACTATGGATGAGCAAAAAGTGAAGCTCCCTATATTCATTTTGAGCCTACAGAATGACATAAAAAGCAAATGTGTCAAAACCTTATTCAGATAAATCTTTTTCAGAGTGAATACCCAGGGCCAGGACAGACTTAGGAAACCTTCGCTATCTCATAATACTGTCCAGTGAAAATCAGTGACTGTGAGACACTGCCGGATTCTCAAGTGCCTTTGGGATCATTAAAGACAGGTTAAATAATGTGAGGTCTTGATCTGGAGTTCAGAATACATCAAATCCATTGACAAATCAATGGTGCTATACTGTATATGACTGCTCAGTTGAATGAAAGCATTTCCCAGTCATTCTGCATAAGAGAGTTTACGTATCACTGTAAGAAGTGAGAGAGGGCGATTGCTGGAAGACACATAGTTAAGGGTTGCCCAGGAAGAATTCTGTCTGGGTTAACTCCCAGGGAAGTGGCAGGGTGCCATTTCTGTACCAAGAGGTGAATGTAATTTGCATGTTGAACGCTGTAATCAAGAACAAACAACTCTTGACTCTACAAATTAAACCATCCTGTTTTCTCTTCTTTGCCTGTAAAAATGTTGCCTCTGTGGGTCATTAACAGCCTTTGACAATAGGTAGGAGTGTCTGTTGTGGAAAAGTGCTGAAGAGTCTAGGTAAAAAGTGTGATCCTTGCCCTCAGTGAATTCATAAGAGACACATAAGAAATGGATGTTGTTGGTTTTTTAAGTCAACTGTAAAAATATATTTATATTATGATTTCAGAGAGGAAGGGAGAGGGAGAGAGAGATAGAAATATCAGTGATGAGAGAGAATTATTAATCAGCTGCCTCCTGCCTGCCCTTCACTGGGGATCAAGCCCACAACCCAGGCATAAAAAAATGCCCTGACCAGGAATTGAACCGTGACCTCCTGGTTCATAGGTCGATGCTCAACCACTAAGCCATGCCAGCTGGGCAGAAATGGGTGGTTCTTAATCTTTGGGTCACAGAACATCTTTGAGATCCTGATGGAAGCTCTGACCCTCTCCTCCAGAGTAGTACACATGGGCACAGACACATGTCTCAGGTTACCCCAGGGGTATTGGTAGACCCTCCAGAGCCTATTCACAGTGACCCACAGATCCAATGTAAAAAATACCAATATTCAAAATAGTTGTTTAAACAAAATATTCAAGGACCAAGGGTTCAGTGTAGAAGAGTATCCCAAGCAGAGGGAACAGAACCAGCAAAGGCCCACATATTAAAATGTCCACAGTTCGTTGCATCCCCAGGAAGTGGGCAGTGGTGTGGTATGTATGGAAAGACGAGGTTGGGATGGAATGTAATAAGTGACTGATGGAGGATTACTTATGTGAGGAACCTTGCAGTTGCAAGTGACAGAAACTGAACTCAACCTAGCTTAAGCAATTTTTTAAAAAAGAATGTGAACTGACTCAACTAAAATGGCCAATGGTCTGTTAGCTTCAGGTAGAGCTGCTTAAGAACAAAAGAACAATGTCTTGAGTAGGGCCATCTAGATAGCGGTCACCAACCTTTCGGACCTCCCGGACCACCGGTTGGCGATCGCTGATCTAGATGGCAGAGAGCTTGTAAATCATTCCACAGAGGAACACTTGATCCTGATAGGGCAGTGGAAGCCTCTGGGAAGGACTGGTGAGGGGATTTGCTGCTGGGTGGGGAAAGGAATGGAGGGGTAAAGTGGGCGTGAGGAGTGTGAGTGTGACAGTGATAGATGGTAGTGAAATCAAAGGAGAAAGTGCAGGTGTTCAGGCCATTTAGGTGATTAGCTCCTGCTCTCTGAGTGTGTAGCTTTACTTAAGACACTTCCCCTCTCTGGGCCTCAGTCTTGTCTGTGAAAAGGAGATTATATATGGCAATCACTTTGGAAAATAGTCTGGCAGTTTCTCAAAAAGTTAAGCATAAAGTTTCCTTATGATCCAGCAATTCCACTCCTAGGTAGATATATACCCAGGAGAAATGAAAACATATGTCCACACAAAAACTTATACACCAATGTTCATCGAGCATTATTCATAATAGTCAACGTAGATACAGCCCAAATGTCCATCAACTGCTGAATAATAAATAAAATATGATACATCCAAACTATACAATATTATTCCGCAATAAAGAATGAAGTGCTGACTTAACCTATGATGTGGATGAACCTAGAAACACACTAAATGAAAACCACAAAAGACAGTATATATTATCCTATTTTTTATGAAATGTTCAGAATAGGCAAATCCATTGAGACAGAGAAGGTAGATTAGTGGTTGCCAGGGCTTGGGGGGAGGAGAATAGAGAGTGATTGCTCATTGGATACAGGTTTCTTTTTGGGGTGATGAAAATGTTCTAAAATTGAATGTGGTGATGGTTGCACAACTTTATGAATATACTGAGAACTGAACAATACACCTCAAGTAGGAGAAGTTTATGTATGTGAATTATATCTCATTAAAGCTGTTAAGGGTGGGGCGGGATCATAAGCCCTTGGCAGCTGACATCAAGATCTCTCATGATCACCCTGGCCGCTGTGGCTCAGTTGGTTAGAGCATTGTCCCATACACCGAAAAGGTTGCAGGTTTGATTCCTTGTTCGGGCACATACCCAGGTTGTGGGTTCCATCCCCGATCAGGATATGTACGGGAGGCAACAGACTGATGTTCCTTCCTCTCTCACATTGTTGTTTCTCTCCCTTTCCCTTCACCTCTCTCTAAAAATCAATAAAAATATATCCTTGAGTATTAAAGAAAAAAGATTTCTCATGATCATGGCTATGAGAGGTTCTTGTAGGCTAGCCACAGACTGAAGATGGTGGGCATCAAGGGGACAGATGGGTGCAAGGGATCTCTGGGGTATCTGGAGTCTTAAGTCAGCCAGCATATTCCTGAGCCTCTCGTGTTCTTTAACCCTCGGGGCTCTGCCACCATTCCTGCTGATTCTGCTCTCATCCCAGACTGGGAGAGTCAGCAAGCTTCAAAAACCAGAGTTCTATATCTGTGCCCCTCCAAGATGGGCTAGTACCCAATAAATAAAGCTTTTTTATTTCTGCAATCAACTCACATAATCACAGCCAGCCCCAGGCAACATTTTCCTTTCTTCCATTTATTTGTGAATTTTTCATTTTTTATTATGGAAAATTTCAAACATGCACAAGAGTGGGGAGAATAGTATATTGATATACCCATCACCCTGCTTTAATAATTATCAATATTAGGCCAATCTTTCATATATCTCCCAAACCCTTTTTTTCCTGGAATGTTTTAAAAGTAAATACCAGATATAATGTAATTTCACACAAAAAAATATTTTAGTATCTCTAACAGATAAGGATTTTTTAAAAACATAATCCACAGTGCTATTATCTCACCTAATTAGACCTTACTTAGTATGTTCTAAGGCCCAATCCATGTTCAAATTCTCCCCATTATCTTTTTCTTAAAATATATTTTTTATTGGTTTTAGAGAGGGAGAGAGAGATAGAAACATCAATGATGAGAGAATCATTGATTGGCTGCCTCCTACACACTCCCCTCTGGGGATTGAGCCTGCAACTCAGGCATGTGCCCTTGACCAGAATTGAACCCAGGACCTTTCAGTTTGCAGGCCTACACTTTATCCTCTGAGCCAAACCAGCTAGGGCTCTCCCCATTATCTTAAAATGCCTTTGAACCGTTGGTTTGTTTGAATGACAATCCCAACAAAGGCCCCCATGTGGCATTTGACTGCTAAGTCTCTTAGTCTCTTTTGTAACACTTTCTCCTTTGTGTCCCTTTTTTTGAGCCATTTATTTGTTGGAAAACCATGTGCTTTGCTCTGTAGAATTCTGTGAGTCTTTTAGAAGTATTCTTATCTGGGTGGAATCATATGCTTTTACTTCAGGA